AAATTAGGGGGGCATGGTGGTGCGTGCCTGTAATCCCAGCTACTCAGGAGGCTGAGGCAGGAGAATTGCCTGAATCCAGGAGGCGGAGGTTGCGGTGAGCCGAGATCGCGCCATTGCACTCCAGCCTGGGTAACAAGAGTGAAACTCCGTCTCAAAAAAAAAAAAAAAGACCAAAACAGAGTGGAAATGACTAGCAGGGTTCACACTTGGCCTTCTGCAAGTGAGCAGTGATCCAACAAAGATGGTGAGGAAGGGTGGAGTGGGTGAGGTTGGTGCGGAGATTCAGGACAGGCCCAACCCAGCAGGCTTAGTCGGGGTGAGGCATGGGAATAGTGGTGGGGATAGTATTGGAGTTACTGTGCACAATCCAAGCTGGAACAAAATTTTAGTATACCTAAGAATTTTGGGTAAAATGGTGCAATGGACAGAAGTTATGTTGAGTCTAGGGGCATAAGTGGGATGTCAGGTTAGGCGGCTGCTGCAGCGGCTTAGCAGCCAGCCTGAGATCTTCGAGCTGATGAACAAAGAGGCCAGGCTGGTATGTTATCAGGCAGCTTCGTGGATCTGGGGAAAGAGGTTTTTGTCTCAAGAGGGATTTTCAGAATTTATATCCGGACTTGTACTATTTGAGATCTCCTGAGTTTGGTTCAGCAGAGCTTTCTGTAAAGCATCCTTAGCAGCCCTGATGTCAAGTGACAGGGGAGGTGGCTGTGATCTTTGGATAGCCAGGCAGAATGAGATTCCTGTGAGAACTCCTGACAAGTACTCACCTATGTCCTTTGCTTCAGTGCCCCGAGGAAGGATTAAAGCTGATCCATGCCAACTCTGTCAATGGGCTCACTCTTGACTTGCTGATTTATTGTTGTTGACAGCTTCCAGGTGTACGTTTTCTTAGACATGGATTCCATGCAAGAAAAATGCTATTCTTGTTGCCAAGGCATTAGTTTAATAAGTAAACAAGTTGCAAAATACTAAAGGAGAACACGAAGGTGTTTTCGGCTTCCCACTGGGCTCATCAGGAACTGCTTGTCTACCACTTGCCACACTAAAAAAGACCCAGCAACTATACTATAGACAGAATGTATTTTATCCTTTTTATCTTAATAAATGTTTTAAAGCTTGTTCTTATCCATTAGGACCTCAGCACTGTATACCTATAGGGAGCCTCTCATTTAATTTGCAGAATAAACAATATCATTACCATTTCAAGTCTATAAAAATAATAAGAGTCCATGAGATTAAAGAAGTTGTTCTGCATCACATAATAAGGTATTAAAAGTGGGCCCCTAGCCGGGCATGATGGTGGGCGCCTGTAATACCAGCTACTCAGAAGGCTGAGGCAGCAGAATTGCTTGAACCCAGGAGGCAGAGGTTGCAGTTAGCTGAGATAGCACCACTGCACTCCAGCCTGGGTGACAGAGGAGACTCCATCTCAAAAAAGAAAACAAAAACCAACCAAACAAACAAAAACTAGGTCCGTAACTTGTGATTAAGTATCTATCCAAGTGTCTATCTTCCACAGAGAACACACAGTCTTGGAGTCTCACTTTATACTGATCAGGACCATGAACCCTGCAACCTGATTAGGCTACCAGGTTGGGCAAATTTCCGCAGGACCTGGCCCCCTAAAGAGTAAAAATCCCTCAACTGCTTCTTACCTCCTAACTTCAAAAGGATCCAGAGGGTTTGGTTACCCCATTAGCCTGAAATAAAGGCTTGATTGTCTTGAACTCATAGCCTCGCCTCCTCAAGCGGCAGGACAACTGGCCGGAGCCAGCGTGGCTCCCAAGGCTTGATTGTCTTTTCAGGATTTCAAACCTGTTCTTTGGAGATGGCCCAACCTTGATTGTTCAGTTTTGCAGCCAGAAGTATGGATTAATCATCAGTATGTGAGTTCTTCATCTATACTACCTGAAGTTTCTTGGCTGACTTTTAATTTATATCATAAAATAGTAGTCTATTTAACATTTTTGCTACAAACAACATTTTTCTATGTATATTTCAGATTATGAAGAAAAAGTCTTACTGATTAATAGAAATACAGGTTTCTTATCATTTCAGGAAGCACTTCACACAAGGGAAAAGAGAAAATCATTTGAGGGGCTAGTTATAAATACTATTTGACACAGATTGGAACTGAGTGAGTTTTCTATCTGGATGGATAGTAAGTGCAAAATTGTGATGCTATGATTTCTTATCACTGAAGAGTGCTCCACTTGGGGCAGCAGAAGGAAATGAGATGCCTATGAGAATAGAGTTGAGACATGAAAAGAGAAGAGAGTCCATGGATGCCCATCAGCCAGGTGAAGATCGAATAAGAGCTACAGTTATCACTTCAAGAAATTTTAAAAAATACATGGTTTTCTGGCCCAGTGCAACGGCTAACGCCTGTAATCCCAAAACTGGGAGGCCAAGGTGGGAGGATCACTTGAGGCCAGGAGTTCAAGACCAGCCTGAGCAACATAGTGAGACCTTGTCTCCTCAAAAATAAAAATAAAAAATTAGTCAGGAATGGTGGTGCACTGAGTGACTTCCAGTGACTCAGGAAGCTGAGGTGGGAAGATAGCTTGAGCCCAGGAGTTCCAGGCTGCAGTGAGCTGTGATCACACCACAGCACTCCAGCCAGGCTGACAGAGTGAGACCATGTCCCTAAATAAATACACAGACAGATAGATAGATAGATACAGATATAGTTTTCTTTCCCCCCCACCTCAAGACGGAGTCTTGCTCTGTCACCCAGAGGCGGAGTGCAATGGCACAATCTCAGCTCACTACAACCTCTGCCTCCCAGGTTCAAGCAATTCTCCTGCCTCAGCCTCCTGAGTAGCTGGGACTACAGGCATCCACCACCACACCAGGCTAATTTTTGTCTTTTTAGTAGAGACGGGGTTTCACCATGTTGGCCAGGCTGAGTCCTGACCTCATGATCTGCCCACCTTGGCCTTCCAAAGTGCTGGGATCACAGGCATGAGCCACCATGCCCAGCCTAGTTTTCTTATAACAAAGGAATACTTCCTTATTATCCAAGTTGAAAATACAACTAAAGAGAGAGAGAGAGAAAACAAAAAACAGTGAATTCCACCACTGATTATTAACTAACTTCTGCACTGGCTTTTCATCTTATTGAGAGTTAATCACTAAATTAAGAGGGGAATGGGATTACCTCTGAAAATACCTTAAATTATTCAGTTTGGAATAGAACCTTGGAGCATGTAGAAAACCCAACACATGTGCATGACATGAGCTTTGTTACTTGAGCAACTAATGAAGTAGTTGTATTTATAAGCCATGCTATTTAAACATATATAAATAAATAAAAATAAAAGGACCTGTTAAAAAAAGAATCACACTTACTGTGACAAGATACTCAATGTATGAAGAGCACACAGGACCAGAAATCAATCAAATTCACATCACCTCTTTCAGATTTATTTTGGATTAGGTTCAAGCTAATTGAAAAGATCATATCCCACTGCCTTGGGAGGCCAAGGTGGGAGGATTGCTTGAGACCAGGAGTCCAAGGCCAGCCTGGGCAACATAGCAAGACCCTATGTCTGAAAAAATAAAATTAGCCTGCTGTGGTGGCATGCACCTGTAGTCCCACCTACTCAGGAGGCTAAGGCAGGAGGATCGCTGGAGCCCAGGAATTTGAGGCTGCAGTGAGCCTTGATAATACCACTGCACTTCAGCCTGAGTTACAGAGAGAGACACTGTCTCTTAAAGAGAGAGAGAGAAAGAGAGAGAGAGAAAAGGCCAGGCAGAAATCATAACACCATTTAAAATATTCTCTCTTGCAGCCAGGCATGGTAGCTCATGCCTGTAATCCCGGCACTCTGGGAGGCTGAGGCAGGTGGATCACCTGAGCTCAAGAGTTTGAGACCAGCCTGACCAACACGGTGAAACCCCGTCTCTACTAAAAATACAAAAGAATTAGCCAGGTGTGGTATCACACATCTGTAATCCCAGCTATTTGGGAAGCTGAAGCAGGAGAATTGCTTGAACCCAGGAGGCAGAGGTTGCAGTGAGCCGAGGTCACGCCACTACCCTCCAGCCCCAGCAACAGAGCAAGACTGTGTCTCAAAATAAAAAAATTCTCTCTTGCACTTTCCTTCTTCCTCTCCCCATTTCTCTTTCCTTTATTCTTTCTCATTTGCCCTCCACTCTTCCCAAATTTAGGTGAACCCTATTAAAGCTAAATGCAAAATGCTGTGATGCTTCTGTATCACCACTTTTAAATCTCTAGCCTTCAATAATTTTAAGGTTACAAAAATACACAGTACTAATGAAAAACATCAAATAGTACAGATAGTATAAAAACAAAAAGTCAAAATCTCCTTTTCTTGCTCTTTTGTCAGCATTCTTCCCATTTCTAGAGATGGAGGCAAGACCCAGAGTTGGGATGGGGGGTAAAGTCAGGCAGAGTTTCTTTTTGTACTTTTATATCGACTGTGTTCTTTGTGACTGTATGTGTGTGTGTTTTTATATCATGTTAGTGAGATTTAGAGTGCAAGGGGAAGTTATGCATGTAGTCAATCCACCACCTTGAACCAGAAACCCTTTTAAAGCTTTTAAAACCATACGCATATACTCACACGTTTTTATTTTACTGAAAGGCGATAATCAAGTACGTATTGGTTGGTGACCTGTGTTTGTTCTTGATATATTTTAGACAACTTATCACATTAATAAATATGTATCTATAACATTATTTTAAATATGAAAAAGATGATATGGATGTATTTGTGTAATTAAAGTCTTACTGTTGGACACTTAGGTTGCTTTTCTATTTCTGTATGACGAACACAGTTTGGATGATCTGCCTAGTAGTTTAATCTTTGCACACATGCTTAGTAACTTCCTAAAGACGGAGTTATAAATTTGAAGTTGGTCACTGGACAAAATGTGCATTTTTAAGGCTTTTGAGTATACTGGACACTTGTGTTTCTTACATTTTAGTTGCACAGTCTCCAATCTAACACTGAATTTAACTTCTTTTCTAGGGTGGGACGCTACTTCAGACTGCTTTCATGTCAAGAGCTGCCTCGTCTTCCAAAGTGGGAGTTCCCAGCATCAGACTTGTGGGGGTGGAAGCTTAATCCGCCTCCTTCCAAAAACTGAAGTGAGTCACTATCAACTTTATTTCTCCACCCTTGACTGAGTCCATACACATCCCTGCTTTTTTTTTAAGGAGGTGGAACTCAGCCTAAAGTCTCTATTCATGTGGAATTGAAAAAGGGCATCTGTTCTAGGTCATTCTTACTTCCAGATTAGAATTTATTTCAGCTCTTAAGACAGAGCTATCTTTTTTTTTTTTTAATTTTGAGACAGAGTCTTGTTGTGTCACCAGGCGCCAGGATGGAGTGCAGTGGTGCAATCTCAGCTCACTGCAATCTCCACCTCCTGGGTTCAAGCAGTTCTCCTGCCTCAGCCTCCCGAGTACCTGGGACTACAGGCACGCGCCACCATGCCCAGCTAATTTTTTTTTTGTATTTATTAGTAGAGACGGGGTTTCACCATGTTGGCCAGGATGGTCTCAATCTCTTGACCACGTGATCTACCTGCCTCGGCCTCCCAAAGTGCTGGGATTACAGGCATGAACCACTGTGCCCGGCCCACAAGACAGAGCTATCTTAATGTAAGTTCTTAACAGCTAACTTCAAAAATCTTAAACAGTTTATGAAAGTGGGTAAAATCTCTACAAGTCTTTGAAGAATATTAGCTATGAAAATGATTGTTATTTTTTCAAAAAATAATAACATGAACTTGGAATGGATAGTTATTTTGGTTAGAAGATTAATATGGATTCTCTGGCACCTGGGCAGATTTCCAATCTGATCTGTGCTCCTTCCCATTTGAACACTGGATAGCTTTAAGAAATCTTCTTGGAGCATGTAGAAAAGCCAGCATATGGGCATGGACATACACATTCCCCACCCTTACACTCTTCTTTTTGTTTCTTTTGCTATTGCTACTATCATATCACCACCACTGAAATCTAGCAATAGTGTTAACATGTGTAATGGGTCATTTTTGCTGGTCAAAGTACTTTCTAGGCTAAAAAGCAAAGGAAATGAATTTTCAACAACCTGTAGTGGTATATGCTGCTTTAAAGTTTATAAAGCAAGGCTGGGTGCTGTGGCTCATGCCTGTAATCCCAGCACTTTGGGAAGCTGAGGTGGGTGGATCACTTGAGCTCAGGAGTTTGAGACCAGCATAGGCAATATGTCAAAACTCTGTCTCTACAAAAAAGACAAAAATTAGCCAGGTATGGTGGTGCATGCCTGGCTATAGTAGTAGTCCCAGCAATAGTAGTCCCAGCTATTCGGGAGGCTGAGTAGAGAGTATCACTTAAGATCAGGAGGTCAAGGCTGCAGTGAGCCGTATTCACATCACTGCACTCTAGCCTGGGTGACCAGGTGAGACTCTGTCTCAAAAACAAACAAAAAAGTTTATAAAGCACCTTCACATAACCTTCAGGTGCTCATTCTACTAAAGTTGCTCTTAATCTAAAGGGGAAGCAGTGAGATAAGCTGATTACTCTCTGGGGTTAGGAATTCTATGTTTCTTGTTATGAAGCCCTGATATTCTGCTATCAGGATGATGGACTGTTTGAGCAGACCTACCTGACAGTGTAAAGGAATGAGTTCTGATTTTTCTCTTCTCTAGGAAGCAAGAATGACCTAGAACAGATATCCTTCTCCAGGGTTGAAAGAGACACTCATGGTCACAAAAATCTAGGACAAAATGTTTCATTCCATAAAACTATCTCCCACAGTAAGTTATGTTACATTCAGCCAATTAGGGATTAATTTTCAAAAGATTCCAGATAAGCAAGGGTAATTTGAACTTTGTAAAACATTGTTATAAACTCTTCAATATTCCCTTCCAGAGAGCTCTGCCTGCCCTTGAGTAACTAGAAGCACGCCTTTGCTCAAGTCGAGAGCTGCTATCAGGACAGAAACATCTACTGCCATGTAGAAGAGTAAGGAGTGGAGAAAACACTAAAATTTCCACCTTAAAGTGGCCAGGTTTTTAATAATTAAGGTACCAATAAATATAAGGAATATAAAATGGTTCTTAATCAAGGAATATAACCAGACTGGGTTTCAAATTGTTTTTTAGGGACGTGGACATAGATTCCTATGAAAGCCTTATATTTAGTGGCTAGGTACCAGGTTTATCCCTAAAACCTCCTGAAACTATATTGACTCTGAAATGGCACTTTCAACTCCCTTAAGATTCCATCCTCATCTACTCCCAATGGAAGTCTTCAATTTATTAGATAATTGGGAAATTGAGACTGGAGACTGAATTGAACCATGAACCACGAGGGGTGAGGAGTGGGTGAAGGTGGGCCTTTCTGGGTTTAGTAGCACTCAAATTAGCATAAGAAGAAACTTATGCTACTTCTGGGAGATGACCCAGAAAATGTGGCCATCAAAAACAACAACCTTCATACGTCTGAGTCCCAAGTATTAAATCTATGAGTTAGTGACTGAAGGACTTAGGTTTCTTTTGAATTAAGTTAAATTCCATTAGAATAAGATTGATGACTTGGACACAATTTACTTTTAAGATTCATATAAAAGAACTCTAGTACTACTGTTGCACCTTATCCCATTCGGTCATCAGAACTTGTGTTGGGCATATAGCCAGTCCCTAGAAATACTCGCTTCATTAATTGAATTAGATGATTAACTAAGATGACTGACATGCCTTGGTGTAATTGGTCTTTGCAAAGATGAATTCTTCAAGGTTTGTCTAAGATTTGAGAAGCCCACTGACAGTGTGCCAACAGATTATTAATGAGTACTCATACAAGTAAAGATAGTAAATCCACAGCAAAACTTCAGCACTAATGAGATATAAAGGCTTTGGGCATATTACCTAACCTCAGTGTCCTCATCTATAAAATGTAGATAATAGCAACAACTATCACATAGGGTTATTATGAGGATTAAATGAGACAACGCACATGGAGTAACTAGAAGAGTGCCTGTCAAGTAGGAATTGGGGAAATGACTATGCAGATGCATTTATGCAGATAAGCAGACATCTAGGGCAACTCAGAAACAATAGAAGGTCCTAAACATAAAGGGGTCATGGGAACCCTACACTGTTTATGAATCTTGGCTGCATCCTTGTGAACTAATCAAGGACCAGCTAAGACACCTGCCCCATTCCAGAAGACTTGGCACTGTGTAAGATCCTGCTACTGTGTGGTATGACTTGAAAATATATGCTGAAATGACTTTTCCTAGCAGCCCAGAGATATGTGGCCATGGTATAGAAATTAGGTTGAATAATAAAAAAGTCATATATCACAACCCACTTCAGCTATTAGAGAACCAAATGATATATCCAAATATCAAAAGAGAGAGTGAGGATAAGGCACAAGGAGCTTGAGAAGAATTTTGCTCTACATACATTTTACTGTCCCAATAGCCATGCCATAATTTCCAAAGGAGCCTATGGGGAAAAATCTGAGGAAGGTAAGGAACTCATTTGAAACCTCTTTTGTATAACAGCTTTTTTTTTTTTTTGAGATGGAGTCTTACTCTGTCACCCAAGCTGGAGTGCAGTTGCACCGTCTTGGCTCACTGCAACCTCCACTTCCCGGGTTCAGCTTCCCAAGTAGCTGGGATCACAGATGTGTGCCACCATGCCCAGCTAATTTTTTTTTTTTTTTTTTTTTTTTTTTTTTTGTATTTTAGTAGAGATAGGGTTTCACCATGTTGGCCAGACTGGTCTCAAACTCCTGACCTCAGGTGATCTACCTGCCTCGATCTTCCAGAGTGCTGGGATTACAGGCATGAGCCACCATGCCCAGCCTCGTATAACATCTTATATAAGATTGAGAAAATATCAATTGTTCCACATGAAAAACAAATGCAGGGTGTGGTTGTGCCTGCAAGTGAGGAGAGGTAGGGTCATGAGTTTGTTTAACCCTTAGGAGAAACAACTTTTCCTCAAGCCTCTTAGAAAAATGCCCTGTACTTGATCACATGATCTTAGATTATGTGGTAAGACTACAATTCTTTAAAACAATTCCAATATTCACCTTTTCCCACAATTGTAACACTGGTCTTCTTTTCATTTAAAAGAAGAATACTGGTCTGCTTTCATTTGAAAGCAGATCTGGCTGAGTGCTGTGGCTCATGCCTGTAATCCCAGCATTTTGAGAAGCCAAGATGGGTGGATCACGAGGTCAGGAGATGAAGACTATCCTGGCCAACATGGTGAAACCCTGTCTCTACTAAAAATACAAAAATTGGCCAGGCGTGGTAGCACACACCTATAGTCCCAGCTACTTGGAGTCTGAGGCAGGAGAATTGCTTGAACCCGGGAGGTGGAGGTTACAGTGAGCTGAGATCGAGGCACTGCACTCCAGCCTGGGTGACAGAGCGAGACCCTGTCTCAAAAAAAAAAAAAAGAGAAAGCAGATCAATTCTTGCTGTAACTTCTGAAAAAAGAACACAGTGCTCTGGCAGCAACGACGATGACATTCTTCCAAGGAGCAGGATAAGAAAGAGTCAAAACAGCTGCAGGAGGTGAATATTTTGGCATTAGGGAAGTGTGAAATGTGAAATTTCACTATCACAGAAAATCATACTTGAAAAGGAGTTAAGAAAAACACAATTTAGAGCTACCTGTTTGTTTTAGTCTGTTTTTATACTTCTGTAAATATATTACCTGAGACTGGATAATTTATAAAGAAGAGATTTAATTGACTTACAGTTCCACATGACTGGAGAGGCCTCAGGAAACTTCCCCATGGTGGAAGGTGAAGGGGAAGTAGGCACCTTCTTTATAAAGCAGCAGGAGAGTGTGAGAGAGAAGCAAAGGGGAAGAGTCCCTTATAAAAGTATCAGATCTGTGAGAACTCACTATCATGAGAACAGCATGGGAGAAACTTCCTCCATGGTCCAATCACCTCCTACTAGATCTCTCCCTCAACACCTGGTCATTACAATTCAAGATGAGATTTGGGTAGGGATACAAATCCTAACCATATCACTGTTTACAGTGTAAACGGTGACCTAAATTAACTGTTAGTTATGGTTTCTTGCATACATTTTTACTACCTTCTCTATATACTCCATCTCTACAGAATTACAGAACCTGCAAGGCTGAAAACTGTATTTCCCACTTTTCACCATCCATAAAAGTCAATACTAGATAAATTGTAAATCTAAGTGAAACAATAATAGTTTCTCAAGAAAACGGAAGAATACTCTTATGATTTGGAGTCCACAAAGATTTCTTAAACTGGAGACACACAAAATAAATGAACCATAAAGGAAAACATCTGATAAACTGAACTAATTCAAAATTACAAATGTCTTCACCAAAAGACATTAATAAAAGAGTGGGGGAAAAAAAGCCACAGAGTGCCGAAAGATATTCTCAATACATAGACCCAATGAAGGACTCATATCCAGAATAAAGAACTACAAAGAACAAGAAAAGGCAGACAAGCCCATAGAAAAATCACACAAAATACATGAATAGGCATTTCACAGAAGAGGGTACTCAAATGGCCAATAAACAATTGAAGAGATGTTTAATTTATTTAATATCAGGAAAATGAAAACAACGAGATTCAATACACTGCATTAGTCTTTTAAAAGAATGGCTAAAATTTAAAAGATGAAAAAGATCAAGTTTTGATGAAGAACAAAGCTGTTGGGCAGTATCTACTCAAGATAAACCCCATGCATCAGAGAAATTCCACTTTTATATATCCAACTGAAATGTGTATGTGTGTGTGTGTGTGTGTGTGTGTTCACCAATGTTCATAGTGGCACTAGTTGCAATAATCTCAAACTGGAAGCAACCCAATGTCCATCTTGTTAGAATGCATAAATTGTATTATATTCATACAACGGAATACTATACAGCAATGAAAATGAAGGTACTATTACTACACATAACACGAATGCATCTCACAAATACAATGTTGAATATAAAAGGCCAGTAATAAAAGAATACACACAGTATTATTCCATTTTGTCTAATGTTTACAAATAGGCCAAATTGGTCTAAAATATTAGAAGCCAAGATTTCAGTCAATTTGAGGGAGGATAATGCCTAGAAAAGATCATGAAGAGAGCTTCTGGTATGGTAGTAGTTTCTGCCTTCCAATCTGGGTGCTAGCTATATGTAGGGGTGTTTACTTTATGAAAACTCATCAAGCTCTCTGATTATAATTTGTGCATTTTTTGTCTGTATGCTATACTTTAATGAAAATGGACTTACACTTAGTTGAAAACAAAACTCAATAACTATAATTCTAGGCTGAGCTGCTAATAGGATTTGTTATACAATTTAGAGTGTGCCAATCAGATATTGATGTGAAATTTGAAAGGTAAAAGGAAGAGAGAGGCTATTTCCCCTATCTATTAATCTTCCTTCCCTCCCTCCCTCCCTCCCTTCCCTCCTTTCCTTCCCTTTTCTTTCCCTTCTTCCTTTCTCTCTCCCTCTTTTTTCTTTCCTCCTTCCCTCCCTCTTTTCTCTATTTATTTTCAAGAAAGAATTTTGCTCTATCCAGGCTGGAGTGCAGTAGTGCAATCACAGCTCACTGTAGCTTAGACCTCCTGGGCTCAATCAATCCTCCCACCTCAGCCTCCTAAATGTGTGAGACTCCAGGCATGCCTATTAGTTTTCACTGGTAATTGTTGATGTACATGCAACATTAAATATGATTTTTAGTGACCAGACTTTCTGTGCCTCTGTGTTGCCACTAACTTCACTGGTGAGAAATGACTGTAATGTCAGCGGTGGACTCTATAGCTTCCTGGCCTCTAGATTGTAGCTGTGTGGACTGAAGTGTAATCCCAAGAGCAGCCCTCTTAATATTCTTACTATTAGAAGGGCTGGAAGAAGGCTTCTCCCTCAGCTGTTTTCTAGCCCTTCTAATGGTAAGAGCATAAAAATTTTAAGCATATATTAGTATTTTAAGCATATATTATTATATCTTAGTATTCAATACCTAGATAAGTGTCTGCACTGACCCCCAACCGATGTGCCAGTTAATAACACAACTGATAGGCAGTGTAGTAGGTTTATGGCTGTTTGTAAGAATCT